ACCATCTCCCCAATTCCCCCACTCCCCCCTCAGCTCCTGGTAACCACTCCTACTCTCGGTGTCTATGAGTTCAGCCTTTTCAGGTTCCACATATAAGTGAGATCATACAGTACGTCTTTTTCTGTCTCTTTTTCTGTCGAATGTCATGTTTTAATTAATCTAAAATTGGGGTGAAATAAGAATTCTGTGCATTTTTTTAAAACGCAGCAGTCATTCTAAAGTCAAGTGGGGACATGAACAATGAATATGCCCACTAGGTTTACTCCTTCTCTTAGCTAGAGTCGTCATTTGCACTCATCATCTTGCAGGGATCCCCCGTGCCCTACTCCCTAGTTTCTCCTCTCAGTCACCTGCTCTTAACTAGTGCCCATTGCCAGCAGTGCCCTCAGTCATCCAGGGAGGCTCATAACCTCTGGTGCAAAAGGAGATTAGACTGTTTCGGCAAATGGTAGTCAATGCGCCCAGGTAGGAGTTGGGCTCACCGAAAAGAACCTAAACTTTTACTTGATGGGTGCTAATCCCTGCCAACTGCCATCACCTCATAATTAAATTGGTGGAAATTTCACTCCAGGAGCAGGGGATATGAAAACTGGCAGGCTTAAAACAACCTGCTCAAAGGACTCTGAGATTGGGGAGTGTGAGATCAACAGGTTGTTTCTAGGCCTTAGTTGTGTGAGGGATTCAGAGGACATTAGAGTGCCACAAAGGAGTGCTGTTAGAAACAGGACACAAGCCCTGTGGATGCCTAAGGAACCACTGTTGGCAGTGACCTGTAGGGGACCGGTAGTTCCCAATTAGTATAACGCAAAAAACAAATGCAAGGTGGTGTGCGGGCTAGAGGATATGATTTCGAGAATAATCTGCATCCCATCTAGATCAGCAGTTGGCAAACTACAGCATGTGCGTCAAAAGCAGCCCACTACACCTGTTTTCCTAGATAAAGTTTTATTAGAGCCTAGTTCTGCCTATTTGTTTACATCATGTCTAAGGCTGCTTTTTGGTGCTACAATGGCAGAGCTGAGTAGTTGCCACAGAGACCTATGGCACAGAAAATCTAAACTATCTCTTAAATGACTGATTTCGAAAAAGTTAGTCAGTTCCTGTTTCAGATCATAAAAGAGAAAGATTGGAAGAAATAATCCAGGGCACCTGGGTGGCTCGGTAAGTTAAGGGTCCAACTTCAGCTGAAGTCATGATCTCAGGGTCCTGGGATGGAGCCCTGTGTTGGGCTCCCTGCTCAGGGGGGAATCTGCTTCTCCCTCTGCCCCTACCCTCCCCCTTATGTGTGCGCTTTCCCTCTCAAATAAATAAAACCTTTTAAAAAGACCTATATGCCAGGGTGCCTGGGTGGCTCAGTTGTTAAGCGTCTGCCTTCGGCTCAGGCCATGATCCCAGGGTCCTGGGATTGAGCCCTGCACTGGGCTCCTCGTTCTGAGGGAAGCCTGCTTCTCCCTCTCCCACTCCCCCTGCTTGTGTTCCCTCTCTCGCTGTATCTATCTCTGTCAAATGAATAAATAAAATCTTTAAAAAAAAAAAAAGACCTATATGCCAATAAACTAAGCAATCTGGATGAAATGGATGCCTTCCTGGAAACGTATAAGCTGCCAAGACTGAAACAGGAAGAAATTGACAACCCGAATAGGCCAATAACCAGTAACGAGATTGAAGAAGTGATCAAAAACCTCCCAAAAAACAAGAGTCCAGGGCCTGATGGATTTCCTGGGGAATTCTACCAAACATTCAAAGAAGAAATAATACCTATTCTCCTGAAGCTGTTTCAAAAAATAGAAACAGAAGGAAAGATTCCAGACTCATTCTATGAGGCCAGCATTACCTTAATCCCCAAACTAGGCAAAGACCCCATCAAAAAGCAGAATTTCAGACTGATATCCCTGATGAATATGGATTCCAAAATCCTCAACAAAATCCTAGCTAATAGGATCCAACAATACTTTAAAAGGATCATCCACCACAACCAAGTGGGATTTATCCCCGTGATGCAAGGGTGGTTCAACATTTGCAAATCAATCAGTGTGATAGAACACATTAATAAGAGGAGAGAGAAGAACCATATGGTCCTCTCAATTGATGCAGAAAAAGCATTTGACAAAATACAACATCCTTTCCTGATTAAAACTCTTCAGAGTATAGGGATAGAGGGAACATTCCTCAAGTTCATAAAATCCATCTATGAAAAACCCACAGCAAAGATCATCCTCAATGGGGAAAAGCTGAGAGCCTTTCCCTTAAGATCAGGAACACATCAGGGATGCCCACTCTCGCCACTATTGTTCAACATAGTACTAGAAGTCCCAGCAACAGCAATCAGACAACAAAAAGAAATAAAAGTATTCAAATTGGCAAAGACGAAGTCAAACTCTCTCTTTTCGCAGATGACATGATACTTTATGTGGAAAACCCAAAACACTCCACCCCCAAATTACTAGATCTCATACAGCAATTCAGTAATGTGGCAGGATACAAAATCAATGCACAGAAATCAGTTGTTTTCTTATACACTAACAATGCAATTGTAGAAAGAGAAATTAGAGAAACGATTCCATTTACAATAGCACCAGAAACCATAAGATACCTTGGAATAAACCTAACCAAAGAGGTAAAGGATCTATATTCTAGGAACTACAGAACATACATGAAAGAAATTGAAGAAGACACAAAAAGATGGAAAAACATTCCATGCTCATGGATCAGAATAAACATTGTTAAAATGTCTCTGCTACCCAGAGCAATCTATACCTTCAATGCAATCCTGATCAAAATTCCAATGAGATTTTTCAAAGTGCTGGAACAAACAATCCTAAAATTTGTATGGAATCAGAAAAGACCCCGAATTGCCAAGGAAATGTTGAAAAAGAGAAACAAAGCTGGGGGCATTATGTTGTCTGATTTCAACCTCTATTACAAAGCAGTGATCACCAAGACAGCATGGTACTGGCACAAAAACAGACATATAGACCAATGGAACAGAATAGAGAACCCAGATATGGACCCTCAACTCTATGGTCAAATAATCTTTGACAAAGCAGGAAAAAATATGCAATGGAAAAAATTCTCTTCAATAAATGGTGCTGGGAAAATTGGACAGCCACATGCAGAAGAATGAAACTCGACCATTCTCTAACACCTCACACAATGATAAAATCAAAATGGATGAAAGACCTCAATGTGAGACAGGAATCCATCAAAATCCTAGAGGAGAACATAGGCAGTAACTTCTTTGACATTGGCCACAGCAACTTCTTTCAAGATACATCTCCAAAAGCTAGTGAAACAAAAGCAAAAATGAACTTTTGGGACTTCATCAAGATAAAAAGCTTCTGCACAGCAAAGGAAACAGCCAACAAAACAAAAAGGCAACCCACAGAAAGGGAGAAGATATTTGCAAATGACACTATGAATAAAGGGCTGGTATCCAAGATCTAGAAAGAACTTCTCAAACTCAACACCCAAAAAACAAATAATCAAGTCAAAAAATGGGCAGAAGACACGAACAGACACTTCTCTGAAGAAGACATACAAATGGCTAACAGACACATGAAAAAATGTTCATCATCATTAGCCATCAGAGAAATTCAAATCAAAACCACATTGAGAGACCACCTTACACCAGTTAGAATGGCAAAAATGGACAGGGAAAGAAACAACAAATGTTGAAGAGGTTGTGGAGAAAGGGGAACCCTCTTACACTGTTGGTGGGAATGCAAACTGGTACAGCCACTTTGGAAAACAGTGTGGCAGTTCCTCAAAAAAATAAAAATAGAGCTACCCTATGGCCTAGCAATTGCACTACTCTGTATTTACCCCAAAGACATAGATGTAGTGAAAAGAAGGGCCATATGCACCCCAATGTTCATAGCAGCAATATCCACAATAGCCAAACTGTGGAAAGAGCCAAGATGCCCTTCAACAGAAGAATGGATAAAGAAGATGTGGTCCATATATACAATGGAATATTACTCAGCCATCAGAAAGGATGAATACCCAACTTTTACATCAACATGGATGGGAACGGAGGAGATTATGCTAAGTGAAATAAGTCAAGTAGAGAAAGTCAATTATCATATGGCTTCACTTATCTGTGGAACATAAGGAATAGCACAGAGGACATTAGGAGAAGGAAGGGAAAAATGAAGGGGGGAAATCGAGGGAGAGATGAACCATGAGAGACTATGGACTCTGAGAAACAAACTGAGGGTTTTAGAGGGGAGGGGGGTGGGGGGATGGATTAGCCCGGTGATGGATATTAAGGAGGGCACATTCTGCATGGAGCACTGGGTGTTGTGCACAAACAATGAATCATGGAACACTTCATCTAAAACTAATGATGTAATGTATGGGGATTAACATAAGAATAAAATTAAAAAAAAAAAACTAATGATGTATTGTATGGTGACTAACATAACATAATAAAATAAAATTTAAAAAAAGAAAAAAAGAAAGAATCTCGCCCTCTGTCCCTCCCCCCACTCCTGTGCTCGCTCTCTCTCTCTCCCTCAAATAAATAATGTCTTTTTTTTAAAGAAAGAATCCTGAAAGGAAGACCAGACAAAAGAGAGATTAAGGGGATCCCAGCCTATGTGTGCAATCTCGGAATTGGGAGAACTTAACAGAGGAGAAAGAAGGGTAGCAGGTGGAAGCTGTGTTCCTGGATTCACATAGACATGGATGAGGATATTTCTGTAAAGGTTATTCTGAATCATCTAAAGCTGAAGTTGGCAAACTACAGCCTGGCCATCAAATCTGGTGCACTGTGTGGTTTTTTAATTGAAGTTTCACTGGAAGACAATCACACGCATTTGTTTATATATTTTCTATAGCTGTAGCATTATTACAAAAAACTTTAATAACAGGCTAAGACATTTAACTCTTCATTTCTCCTCAAGTCCCCCTTCTTCTGGTCCTTCCCAAATTGTTAAGCCCATGTGAACGAGCTTTGAGGGTTCTTTTTCTCCCTCCTAGGTGTACCTACTGTCCTTTACCTGTTCCAGCCACATTTCCAGTCTTATCACCTTTTATTGCCAGTAATCTGCAAGAACAAATGAGAAGAACTTTATCTTTAGGCAATATTTTGGCCTCATGATTACATGCTATATCCCAAATCATGGGTAACATAGTAGGCTTGAAATTTTAAGATTTAAATACCTGCTTAAACAAATTTCCCTTAACATATTGATTAATGGATTAATGCTATGTTGGAAGGATGTCTCCGGTGACATGCCTGGGGCCCTGCTCTGTTCAACACTTTTGTCAAATGACTTAGATAAAAACCCAGAAGACAAATTTGCCAAATTTTGAGTGATACAAAGAAAGTAAGACATGCTTAGGTAAAGTTTTGGATACCAGAATTAGCATCCAAAATGACCTCAGTGGAAGGGAACTCCAAGCCAAACTGAACAAGATGAAGCATTGCTTAGCAAATCATAAAGCTGAGCCTTGAGGTTAAAAGAAAATTAGTTGTACAGTCACAGAGGAAATGAGATAACTGGTTTGAGAGTAGTTTGTGTGGAAAAATCAAGGTTAGGGGCCTTACTTCCTTGCTAAACATAATACTGTTAAAAATAACTGGCTATCCTAGGATGTACACGATTAGTACAAAAATGCTGCCACAATTTGTAGTTTCTCCATGATGGGCATTGGTCGTTCCATGCTTTCAGAAGGGTGTCTGGTTCAAAGGACCACTCTTCAAGAGGACAATGGGAAAAAAATCAGGAGTAGATCTACGTATTTTCAGGAGTGAATTTGGATCTGTTATTGAGAGATCTTGGAATGAACTAAATCATCTGAATTGAGATGAAAGGACCACAGCATGGTTACCTTGGAGAAAAATATTCTGTGAAGTTGATATCATTAATGAGTTTCTGTTTTAATCCTAAACCTGACGCAGGAATTAAAGAGTTTCTGGGGACACGAAACTCTCAGTGGTAAAAATCAAGAAAGCCCAGGACAAACCAGGAAGATTGGTCCCCTACACTGTGCTTCAACTACACTCACCTCTATCTGGCAAACAGTTAAACTTGGTTTTTGTTTTTTTGTTTTGTTTTGTTTTGTTTGTTTTTTTGTTTTTAAAGATTTTATTTATTTGACAGACAGAGAGACAGTGAAGGAGGGAACACAAGTAGGGGAGTGAGAGAGGGAGAAGCAGGCTCCCTGCTCTAGAGCCTGATGCGGGGCTCGATCCCAGAACCCTGGGATCATGACCTGAGCTGAAGGCAGATGCTTAAGGACTGAGCCACCCAGGCGCCCCTAAACTTGTTTTTGCCTTAGAGTCTTAGCACCTACTGTTCCCTCTCTCTCAAACTCTATTCCCCTAAATTTTCACATAGTTACTTTGTGTCATTTTGGTCCCAATTAAACATCACCTTCTTTGAAAGCAAACACTTATAATAACAATCTTGTTCCACTGCTCTTTCATATAACCATTTCATTTTCATCTTAACAGATATTACTATCTGAATTACTTCATTTGTTACTTCTTTTTTGTCTCATCCCCACAGAATACAAGTTAAATAAGAAGGGAAGTCTTGTCTCTTTTGTTCATTGCTATATCCTCAGCAAATAGAGCAGAACTGACACATAGTAAGAAACCAATAAATATTTGTTGAGTGGATAAGTGAATGAATTATTCTGCATGACCATGAAGCCTAGATTGAATCCTTCCATATACACATCAAAAAGCTCTGAAGAAAAAATATCCACAAGATAAGTAAAATTCAGTTACCTAGTAAACTTTCAGAGTAGGCCGCACAGATCAGTATGTAATAGGGATGGGTCTAGTAGACTCTGATTATAAGGCAAGAAAGCTGCTGTCAATTAGGCCTTATGAGATTGCTAGATAAGTACTGTCTACACCCAGGAGAGCTGAGTCTGTGCTGTTTCCATGTTCTGTGCTGTGTACTTAAAGTGAAAAAGTCTATTCTCATCTTAAATCTCTTGTGATTCTGTTTCTGGTCAAACTATCATCAGAGACTTTAAGAAATTTGAAATTAAAAAATTTAGAGAAAAGAGATCTATGGCATCACAGCCACCTTCCCTTTTAGAAATATTAACCATAGAATTTCTTTATTTTATGAACTCCTAGGTGATATGATTATTTTCTCCCAAGATTCTGGTCCATTCTATCATAAGTAAGTCCATAACATCATTTCCCCCCAAAGCTTCTTTAACCTTCTGAGAAATGAAATTGTCAATAAGGCAAATCCCAAATTTATCAGATGCTCTGCTTGTAGCAGAAAGAGACTTCCATCAGATGCCTGGACAGCTGAAGCCTTCCATTCTTACTGTAGTTTGCCAGTTCTGTAATCTTCATTAGGGAAGCATCAAGCATGCCTCTGTGAAATATTTCCTGGATGGCACTACGATTTCTCCCAATTTGTATGCTCTCCTAAATGTTCTCCATCTAATCCTCCTTCATATTTTGTGGATTTCCACACAAGTTTAATATATTTTTAATATTTGGGGGTGAGAAGGTCCCTTGGATAGAATCACAAAGAAAATTCTTGAGGAATGAGTATCTCACATAGGCAGACCCTTACCATCAACCCTGTATGGAAGGAGTGAACCACAAATGCCCAATAAGAAGTGACTATCTGGCTGAAAGTCCTCCTCTTCTGTTGTCTTTCTACAGAGCACTGCTCTATCAGTCAACACATTTTTTGGTACCAAAAATTGATGAGTACAAATTTCAGGGAAAAAAGTTATTCATGGTCAGATGGCCCCAAACAATATCATTAAATGCAATATAAAAATACCTTAATGGGAGAATCCATTCAGTCAAAGTGACATCAGGAGCTTTTATTTCAACAAACAGTTCTCAAGACTTTCCTCTGTGCAAAGTAGAATGCCAGAGAAAGCAGAGGCAACTCAGATATGGTCACTAAATCCAGGGGTTTACAGCCTCTAAATTGTATGCCTAGTCTTACTTCTATTATACAGGGTCTAAAGTCCCTTAAGTTAAAAAAAAAAAAACAATAAAAATAAAACTTCATCTAATCTCTGTTGAACCCACAATCATACTTGGAAGAGAACTGGATTGACCAACACAACATATCATTTGCAGAACCCAGCGAACACAAAAGTTATGCAATCATCCTATGATGTACATCTTGTTCTCCAAAATTCCTCAATATAGCACTACCTGAACATTTCATTTGCTAGCAGAAAAGAAAGTAAATTAATGAAGAATTGCTCAGACAGAAGAAAGTTTCTCTTTGAGGAAGACTGGCTGTGGTTACCCAACACCACCATGTTTACCAACCAGAATCATGGCTATACGGTACATTCACTGAAATTCTCATTAACCAGGTTAGGAGGAAAGCGAACATTATTTTAATAAGTGAAATATAGCAGAAGCTTCCTCCTCCTTCTTTGTTTTCTCTCTCCATGTTTGTATTAGGCAACTAAATTACAAAGCAGGGATATCCCCTAAATCCCCAAAGTGGAAACTATTCTTCAAGATTGAGGTCATGAATTCTTCAACCACCACACCATTATCCAAATTTCCAAAGTTCCTTCTTGCATTTGAATTGTGTCTTCTTTTAATGCTATTTAAATATTTTCAGTCTGTAAGTACACTATACATTTTTGGCAAACACCAATATTTTAAAAATATCTAGATGTATTCAGAAAGGAATCTCAATTTATTTTTCTGTGGCTGAGAACAAAGTAACAGAATTTTGGACACCTCAAGAAGAAATTTCATTTTCATATTTGTACAGGCAAAGAAAAATTGCATGTCATGAACTGGCATGAACTATATTATCATTATGTATGCTAGACAATGAATTTCTTTATTGTTTTTTGGACACCAACCTTTCATGGTAGCCTTATTAGAAGCCATCTCTGTGTAAATAAAAGAAAAATATATTTAACAAGTTGAAATAAATGTGCATGATTCACCAGCACAGTTAACTCGAGATTTTCCAGCCTTATAACCACAACTGATAGGAAGATTTATTATCACAGCTGCTTGTATTAAACTTCTTTTCCTTGCAGTTGAAGGAATCAAATTTCTTCTTGGAGATTAGTCATTTGTGGGGGTGTTGCCAACTGCAAAATGCTTCTGTTATGAATGAGGTGCACTTCTCTGTTGCTGTCCTCCAGCCCTAAGTTAGTGAGTAATTTTCATATTTTTATGTGTCTTCTCCTGCTTACCATCAGGAACAAATTTTAATGACTTATACAAACTTTCTTTAGTTGTTACTCAAACCTAAAACTTCAGGTGGTATTGTTTCTGATAACATGATAATCTCACAAAGAAAGGTAGGATGAAATGACATTTTGGTACATGTTTACGAGGATGAAATTCAAGCTGAAGGAAGGGTCTACCTGGGATGTGAAAGTGAGAACAGAGCTAACATAGCTTGTGTGGCTAATTATTGTGCCAGGCACTGTGCTAGGTTCTTTATAGACATAATCTTATCTAACTCTTGAGACAATCCTGCAAGAGGCTAGGTGATATTCCCATTTCATATATGAGGAAACTGACGTTCTCAAGATTGTTCAGCTTATTAGTGGCTGAACCAGGATTTAGGCTTAGATCCCACTGACTTCCTCACTTTCTTTCTGTATTTTAACATTTGGCTTTTCGGGTATGAAGAATTACTCAATTATATGCAGCACTAATACAACATTACAGTATGGAGAGATTTGATTCTGTGTGTAAGTAAGAAAATCCTAAAGCCAGAATAGATTTCAATGGGTCATCTGTTTCACTCCCTACCGAAATCATACAAAACTGACAGGGCTCTGTCTTTTCCTTCTCTTTCCTTCCTTCTTTCTTTCTCTCTTTCTACACTTCTGGAAACATGTATTCCAAAATTTGACTTGTCTCTCTTCAGAATTTCTGGTAACCATTGTCTTCATAAAATCCTTTATCTAATAAAATTTTCCTATCATTCTTTAAGCTCTTGTTTGAAATTATATGGAGATGGTAGGATCTGCACATAGTATGCTTCTGTCATTGAAGACAGATGTCAGAACAACTGAACAAAGAGTGAGATTTTCATAAATCCACAAGTCGCTTCATTT